TGATTGTCCTGCTGCCGAGTGTCAAGTCTGACCTAAGTGAGTCCCTCACAAATAAATGTGACAAAGTGAACAGGCTGGTTTTAGCAAACAACAGCAGCTTCTCAGAAAATAGGTCAAATGGACTCAAAAGGAAGCATATACCCCACCTGGTACCGAGAAGTCTAGTAATTGTGTACACATCTGAGCAGATCGTCCTTGGGCATTCAACTCATAAATATTTTTTTAAAAAAGGATAAAAAAAGAAGTATACTGTAAAAGAGAGAAAATGGTCAAAATTTTTTAAAAACTTATTATTTCACCCAGATTTTTTTGCCCCTTCAAAACCAATATAAGCCTAATTCCTTTCCCAGTTAATCACCAATATCTCTCTTGGTGTTAGCCCATCCACTCACAAATGAAATCTCTCCCAGCTAGCTGCCACTATCTCTCCCAGTGTCAGTTCACCCATAACACCTATGTGATAAACTTGGCTTTTCCCAGCTAGCTGCTAGAATCACCTGATTTTAATTCTGATTCTAGTTCTTGTTCACTGGAATAACTTTTGTTTTTCTCACAAAGAGCTGTTTTTTTCTGACAAGTGGATTCTGTATAACACTAGTAGCTAGGAATATAGGTATTTGCCATCACTTAGTGCTCAATTTCTAGAGCTTTATTTTTTTTCCCCCTTGTAGTGCTGAGGATAAAACCCAGGGATCTTGAGCATGATAGGCAATCCTCTACACCTGAGTTAGAAGTCCAACACCCCCCCACACACACTTTTCTTTCCCCAGTACCAGGGATCAAACTCAGGTCCTTGTGTTTGCCAGGCAGGCATGGCACCACAAAGACACACACCTTTTTTTTCTGAGACAGATTTTGCTCTGTATTCCTGGCTAGCCTCGAACTCACTATGTAGCCCAGACTGGCCTCAAACTCACAGCAATGCTCCTGCCTCAGCCTCTTTGAAACAATGTTTAAAGACTGGAAACAATGATCTGATTGTAGAAAGGATGATCTTCACTTCATTCCTTACATTTTAACTACAGTGGCTTTGTAATCTTAGTTTTTTAGAACTACTTATACTTAGTGCACTAATTAGTACAATCATTTACTCGAAAAGTTCTGGGCTAAAGCTGAGTAATACTGTAATCCCAGTATTTGGGTTGCTAGGTAGGAAGACTGCTATAAATTCAAGGTCAGCCTAGGTTACATAGTATTGCATTCAAAGCTAGCCTGAACTATGTAAGGAGCCCCCCACCCACCTTTTTTTGAGACAGGGTCTCACTCTGTAGTTGAGACTGACCTGGAACTCACAATGTAGCCCAGGCTGGTCTCAAACTCACAGCGATCCTCCTGCCTCAGCCCCCCCGAGTGCTGGGATCACAGGTGTGTGCACCACACCCCAGGCACAAGGAGCCCCTTTTTCAGAAAACAAAAACAAAAAAAGGAAAGGTTTCTGGTTTAAAATTTTTTTCCAAATTTTTACTTTTGTAATTAAATTTCATCCTCCTTTCTAGTAGTGCTGAGGACCTGCCACACTTCCTTAAAGCTGCCATAAATGATGGAAGAAACTGTTAAAAATGAAAAAAAGAGGGAAGCAGGCACCCTTTAAATGTAGGTTCTGAATTAATGCTGGCAACCAACTTTTTCTCCACAAACCATTTGATAGCATTTTCAACAATTTCCAAGAACTTTCACAGAAGAGGGCTTGTCCTCCTTTCATTGAATTCCTAGCTGCAGAATCATGTCAAGAGTGGGTCAAGCCCAAACTTGCGCTAGGAGCCAATTCCACCCCTGAGCTGCAGCCTGGCCCTTCTGTCATCTACAGGACAGTGAACTTTTCAGGGTAGTGCCCATTCCACACTCATTTCTCTCTGCACTCTCCTGGATTCCCAGAAGTCTCCCCTATCAGTGTGGATCATATGTCCCAGGGCTATCAAATTAATTTTATTTTTCAATTTGTCTTAGTACATGTTTGCAGTGCATATGTTTACATTCACCTTAGTGAGTTGATACATATACTTAACCTGTCTTGTTTCTTTTTATTCGCTTTCTCCCTTTCCTGCTTCCCCTGCCTCCATCTCTGGATCCCTCTCCTACATGCAAAAGATGTCTGTTTCCTTTTGTCTTTTATTTATTTATTTATTGTTGTTACTGTTGGTATCCGGGATTGAACTCAGGTCCTTGTGCTTTTGAAGCAGGCGGCACAACCACTGAGCTAAATCTCTGGCCCATATGTATTTATTTTTATTTAGGTTATTAAAAAAAAATTTTTAGGCTGGGGGAGGCGGCACACACCTGTAATCCCAGCACTCACGAGGCTGAGGCAGGAGGATCGCAGAGAGTTAGAGACCAGCCTGGGCTTTGTGAGTTCATGGCAGTCTGAACTACACAGTGAGTCAGGGTCATGCTGACCTTGTACTCACTATGTAGGTAGCCTTGAATTTGTGATGACTCCGGAGTGCTGGGATTATAGACATGCACCACCACGCCCAGCTTACCACACTTGACTTTTAAAATTTTATTTATTTATTTTGTATCAGATCAAATTTGGGCCCTTGTGCTTGTCAGGCAGGCAGCAGAACTACTGAGCCAAATCCCAGCCCTTGATTTTTAATTAAAAAACTTTTTTTGGTATCCGGGATCAAACTTAGGACCTTGCATTTGCAAGGCAAGTGGTGGAACTACTGAGCTAAATCCCCAGCTCTTAATTTTTATTTTTGAGACAGGGTCTTGTTATGTAGTTCAGGCTGCTCTTGAACTCACCATGATCCTTCTGCCTCAGGCTCTGAGTGCTGGAATTAGAGGTGTTTGACACCATGCCCAAGTGGATTTTAAAAAATTTATACTTTGGGTTTCTCATATTAGAGAATTTATACAATATTTAAGTATGTGTGTCTGATTTATTTCACTTAACATTACGGACTCAATGTGCGTCCATTTTCCTACAAATGACTAAAATTTATCCTTTATGAGAATAGTACTCCATTATGTATAAATATTTTCTTTATCCAGCAGATTAATTTCAATTTGCCAAAACCCAACATTAAAAAAAAAATTGCTCATGGGCCAAGGATTTAGCTCAGTGGTTCCGTTGCCTGCCTTGCAAGCACAAGGATTGGAGTTTGATCCCTGGTACAAAAAAAAAAAAAAAAAAAAAAAAAAAAAAAAAAAAAAAAAAAAAAAAAAATCGCTCAAATGACCTACCATAATTTTGTGGGACAAGCTCCCCTTCTGCCCCCAACGCTGAACATGGCTCACCTATTTATCACATTCTTTTCAACCACAGGGGTGAGGTTCTGACTGTCAGGATAGCAACAGGGAGTTTTAAGTACCCTCAGGTATTTTGCCTCTGCTCCCATACTTCCCAGGCCTGCCTGCCATTTAAGGCAAGCTATGTGGTCCCTCTGGTCTTCCTGGCTTTAGATCCCCCAGTCTCTCAGTAGTCTATTCCCAGCTCTATTGGCCTAATCTCCACTCTTGGATCTCATTCTGTTTCCCAAATACTTTTACTCCCTCCCGTAACAAGCACCCTCATGTGCTTCCAACATGTTCTTCAAGACTATACAAAAATGCTACTCAAGTAAAAGCCCTCCTTTCACAGCTAGGGTTGTGCTTGGCATTCCTGCATACTTTGGTTCACACTCTATTATTTCTTTTTTTTTTTTTTTCAAAGAGTCTTGCTATACACTTCAGGTTGGACCTGAATTCACTATGTAGCCCAGGCTGGCCTTGAACTCACTGTGATCCTCCTGCCTCAACTTCCCAAGTGCTGGGATTACAGGTATGTGCCACCATGCCTAGTTTGGTTCACTCTTTCTCCTTTTTTTTGGTACAGGGGACTGAACTTGGGTCCTTGAGCTAGTGAGGCAGGTGGCAGCACCACTGGGCTAAATCCCTGGCCCTAGTTCACTCTTTAATGGCACTTCCTACACACACACTGCTTGGCACTGTGGTGATTTGCAGATCTCTTTTAGGTCATCAGAGGGCAGAGACTGGATTTTGCTTGTTTCGTCTGGGGACCAACCTAGGGCCTCCCAGATAGCAATGAGCCACATTCCCAGCCCCAGAAACTGAGTCTCACTGGGTATACTGGTGCATGCCTATAATAATCCCAGCACTTGGGAGGCTGAGGCAGGGGGAATCACTTCAAGTTTGAGGCCAGCCTGGGCTACATAACAAGTTAAGGACAGCCTGAATTGCCTAGTGAGACCGTCTCAAAAAAAACAAAACAAACAAAAAAAACCCTAAACAAACAAAAAAAGAAAATGAGTCTTGTTTTTCTTCGACAGTAGAAACTGCTAGACAGATGGATATACTTATGGTATTTACCCGGCTGCCTCCTTGCTCTAGGCTGACTTTGCCCTCTAGGAGGAGGCCTGTGCCTTCATCAGGATCTAGTGAAAATCCTAGTGTTCAGCACATTGCTTCTTGTTCCAGGAGTAAATCCAGATGCCTGCGCACTTAGTGTAAACACATCTGCCTGGCTCACTCTCAACCAATGACTCTGGTCCCCTCACCACCACCAACACCACCAGGCACGCAGCTTCCAGTGCAGGGCAGACAGAATGTCTCAGGACCACCGAGGCTGGGTCCACCCAAGGAGATTACTAGGCATCCGATCTCACATTTGGGCATCTAAGGCCTTCACCTGAAAGTAGAATGACAAAGAATGAAAATGAGAAAAACGAATTCTTAGACCTCGAAACCCGCCTTTGGTGCAGGACCGGATGGAGTGGCTGAAGGGCCTGCGGACAGATCCGCTGAAATCGCAGGATAGGCAGGTCTCGGAGCTCTTCACGGTGGCCACTCTGAGCACCGGTAGGATGCGGGGAGCTCTCACGGTGTGGTCGGCAGGAAGCGGTGGCCGCCTACCCACTCCCAGCCGCGCTATTCTGCGGGTTCAACCGCTCGCTGGCCTGGAGGCGGCGCGTGGGGTCGGAGGGAAAGACAAGAGGCCAGCCGCCTTAGCAGCCGCGCCTCGGGCCGAAAGGGCGCGCGCACGACGCCGTGTGCGTGCGTGCGTTACGTACGTATGTGGGCGAGGCTCCTAGCTCGTAGTCGGCGCGGCGAATTTCCGGGCCGGCTGGGTCAGGATAGTTTACGAGATGGCGGAAGGTCCGTCCTGCAGTGAGCGACCGGATGTGGAAACCCAGAAGTCCGAGCTCGGCGCCTTGCTGAGGACCACGCTTCAACGAGGGGCGCATTGGTGAGCACCGAACCCCTCCGGCCCATCTCAATCAGGAGTCGTGATTCTGGCCCCCAAGCCAGGCCCACTTTTTTGGCTAGGGTAGGGGCCGGGCAGAAGCGATGTCTGTGACCCTGATGGGGTAGCCTGACACCTACCACTCAGAAGAGGCACCTTAGGGGCATCTGCCTACTGAGCGGCGGCGCTGGGGGTGGCCCTTGCCCATTCAGAGTCCCCGGGGCTCGGCCGACCGGCGGGGAAGGGACTGTAGGATGTAGAAGAGGGAGGGCTCGATGCGATCTTGAGAAGAGGATTCCTTTCACACCATGGAGAACTCGCTGTGTGACCTTGGGTGAAGCTGTCCAGACCCCCTTCGTTACTATTAAAACCAGGGTAGCAATTTGTGGTTTACCACCTTGGGTTGGTTGAGGTGAAGATCAGAAGTAGATACTTTATAACTTGTAGATTGCTGAAAAGGAGTCAAGGTCAAAAGCTAACCAAATTCTGAGAGCCCCAATTGATTTTGGTAGGAAATGTCAGAAGCAATTGTGACAGCAGTGTGAAGTGGGAGACCGGAGGGGAGCCTGGAGCCTGGAGCAAGATACAAAATTGAAAATTCAGTTTTAGAAGACCAAGGCCGAGATATGAGGCTTCCTAATACATTATATTAGAAAGGACAGTACTTTTCAGTAGTGGAGAGGTTCCTGGATGGTGTTACTCTATGAGAGTAGAAAATTAAGGCTATGATATGCATTGATTATGATTAAATGTCGCTGCTTTGAAACAGTCAGCAGAGGAATTGAAGCAGGGAAGACAAACAGTTGATTAAGAGGAGTTGTTTGTGAAATATATATACTTTATTTTCGTGGTAGTGAAGATTGAATCTCATAGTGTTCACACTGAGCTACATTCCCCAGCCTCTTTTTTTTTTTTTTTTTTTTTTTTTTTTTGTTTTTTTTTTTTGAGAGAGGGTCTTAGTAATTTCGGCTGGTCTTGAACTCACTATGTAGCCCAGGCAGGCCTGAAACTTGCAGCAATCCTTCTGACTGGCCTCCCCAGTGCTGGGTTTACAGGCAGCCAGCTCCTGTTTGTGTTGTTTTGAGTACCCAAGCTGTGAAAAGGAATCAGAGGTATTTTTGAACCTACTTTGCAAAGGGGTAATACATAAAGAATACTAAGCGAAAGCAAGAGGAGTTTAAGATTAAAATCACGCAGTAAAAGTGTATGGATGGTATTGGTCAAGAGATTTGGAGGGAAAACAGCATTTTAGAAATTTGGATGGTGCTAGGAATTTAGCTCAGTGGTCCTGCCGCCTCGCCTGCTTTGCAAGCACAAGGTCCCAAGTTTGATCCTTGCTACCAGAAAAGAAATTTGGATGTATTTATGGATCCTTTTGGCTTCAGGGAAGCTGTCTGAACCTCTGACATGTGTTTATAAAAATTTACAGGGCTCACCAATATAATTGTTCCCCACCACCACCAGGGATCCAACTCAGGACATTGCGCTTGTGAGATAGGTACATTGCCACTGAGCTAAATCCCTAGCCCTCAACATAATTGTGCTTTGTTGTCTCACAGAGGTTTCCCTCTCCTGTCTTAGTCATAAAATGGCATTGTAATACTTTTTTTTTTTTTTTTTTTGGTACCAGTATTAAACTCAGGACCTTGTGCTCAGGGTCTGACTATGTAGTTGAGACTGACCTGGAACTCACTATGTAGTCCAGGCTGGTCTCGAACTCACAGCGATCCTCTTCCTGCCTTAGCCTCCCGAGTGCTGGGATTACAGGCGTGCACCCGGCCTAGGACCTTGTGCTTTCAAGGCAGGCATGGTGCCACTGAACTAGATCTCCAGTCCTTTTAATACTTTAAAAAAAAATTTTTTTAAATTAGCCGGGCACAGTGGCGCATGCCTGTAATCCCAGCACTTGGGAGGCTGAGGCAGGAGGATTGCTGTGAGACCAGCCTGAGCTACATAGTGAATTCCAGGTCAGTCTCAACTATATAGTGAGACCCTGTCTCAAAAAACAAAATTTTTTTTAAAATTGAGTTTATTGCTACTTTTTAGGTATACAGTACAGTTACATTCATTATTGGGATCTTGTACCTTTTACATGACAGGTCTTGGTTCTCATTTTTTCCCCTTGTCCCTGCACTTTTTTTTTTTAATGGTACTAGGATCAAACTCAGTACCTTGCTGTTGCATGGCAGGCATGGCACCACTGAGCTAAATCCCTGGCCTTGTAATACTTTTAAAATATAAATAGATTTGCTTTTTTTTTTTTGAGACAAGGTCTTGTTATGTTGTTCAGATTGGCCTTGAATTTACTGTGTAGCCCAGGGTAGCCTTGAACTCATGACAATCCTCCTGCCTCAGCCATGCACCACTATGCCTGGCCATGAGATTTGCTTATAGTTATGTATAGAAAGCAATAAATTGAATAGGAGCTGTGCGTGAGGGTGCATGTCTATAATTCCAGCGCGTGGAGGCTGAGGCATGAGGATTGCTCACTCGCATCAGGTGAGGGTATCCTTGAATTCATTGAGATTCTTCTGCCTCAGCCTTTGGATTATAGGCATTACATGTATGTATTACCATGTCCAGGTTATTTGTGGATGCTCTTATTTATTTATTTGGGTACCGGTGATGGAACTCTAGACCTTGTGCTTTTGAGGCAGGAGGTGGAACCACTGAGCTAAATAAATCCCTGGTCCATTGTTTTATTTACTCAGCTCTTTTTTTGGAGGGGGTTTGGTTTTCCTGCTATGCAATTTCGGCATGCCTTGAACTTGCTAGTTTTAGGCGGGCCTGAAACTTGAAGCAGTCCTGCCTCAGCCTTCCAAGTGCTAGGATTACAGGTGTGTGCCACCATGACTAGCTCAACTTTTTTTTTTTGAGATTTTTACATTTATTAAAAAAAAGGAAAAGAAACATGCTCCACAGAGCAAGTGGGGACCAATTAAAAGTTTGAAAAATACTCTACAGGGTGAGAGTGCACCACAGTGAGAGAGAGAGAACACAGTCTACCTTAATATTTAGTCTCATAGCAGTCCTTTTACTTAGTGTATGCCTACCCTAGGCCAAGCCCTCTGTGCTGTGTGAGGCTGGTTGGCCCTTTCTTGGGAGTGTGTATTATGGTGGGGATTACATATTCTCTAAGTCAAAAAAGCATAATAAAGATTAAGGTTGCTGGGGGTATAGTTCAGTAGTAGAGCACTTGCCTAGCAAGCTACAGGTCCTGAGTTCTATTCCCAGCACTGAAATATAAAACAAACAGAAGAAAACAGAAAGGTTAAGGGGAAATTTGTGACCTTATCGTTTTTCTTATAGTAAATTCTCTGTCTTTAGGTATCTTATTGATAGCCGATGGTTCAAGCAATGGAAGAAGTACGTGGGCTTTGATAGCTGGGATATGTACAATGTGGGTGAACATAACCTGTTTCCTGGGCCAATTGACAACTCTGGACTTTTTTCAGGTATAGTGTGCTTTTCTAGAAATATTCACCTTGGCAATGTCCTGGGTTCCTTTTTTTCCCCCTTGAAACAGGGTCGTGCTTTGTAGCTGAGGCTGGTCTCGAACTCAGTAATCCTACTGACTCTTAGCTTCTGGAGGGCTGGGATTACAGGCTTGTTCTCCCACGTCTGGTTAGGGTTTTATGTATCTGTGACATGGATTTTGCAAACCTGTCTTTCCTGGTAGGAGGAGATATAAACAAGTATCTCTGATTTGAATCTATAACAAATCTTTAGAACTCCTTAAGAAGTTAAGTTGTTTTATATCTTTTCTTTTTGGAGACAGGGTCTTACTATATAATTCAGGCTGGCCTTGAACTCACCCTGTAGCCCAGGCTGGCCCACATTCCTGACTGTCCTCTTTTACCCTCCTGAGTGCTGAGATTACAGGCATGCCTCACATGCCTGGCAACATTTGTGTTTTGGGGACTGGTTTTATTTTACTTTGTGTGATATTCACAGTACTGATTCATAATGTAGAATGTCAGAATATTCTTCCTTATTTTTTGTCTTTGTGTATGTGGTACTAGGAATTAAACTCAAAGCTGACACACTGAGCTGCATCCTTAGCCCTTTTTTATTTTTTGAGACAGGGTCTCACTAAGTCATTAAGTTGCCCAGGCTGGCCTTGAACCTGTGATTTTACTGTCTCAGCTTCCTGCAGTGTTGAGATTATGCATGTGCACCACCAAGCCCAGCAGAATTTCCTTCGCTTTCAAGGCTAAATGATACTCCATCATAGATATAGATGTATGTAGATATGTAGATAGATCTATTTATCTGTGTATAACATTTTCTTTATCCATTCATCTATCTTACCTACATATCCTCTCCCAATGCTGCAGTTTTCTTCCTTGGAAATCAAAAAGACAGGGTCAGATCAGGTTGGAAATTTGTCCTAAAGAAAGGCAGAAAACCAGCCTGGCGTGTTGGTGCACACCTGTAATCCCAGCGCTCTTGGGAGACTGAGGCAGGAGGATCACTGTGAGTTTGAAACCAGCCTGGGCTACATAGTGAGTTGCAGGTCAGTCTCAACTACACAGTGAGACCCTGTCTCAAAAAAAAAAAAAGAAAGAAAGGCAGAAAACCTTATGGAATGGGTGTATGGTGGGATGCCCTGCATATGATTAGCTTTCGTTTGTTTTCTTGTTTTTATGTTTGCCTTGACTTAACAGATAAGTCTTACTGTTGTAGGTACTTTTTGCCTCTTCAGTTTCATGACTTACTGGTCTGGGAGAGAACAGTGACTTCTACTTTCTGAAAGTGAGCATTAATGGGCACATGCTTGGCAGAGGGCAACATGTTGGACGTCAGTCAGTTTTCCTTGGATCCTCCCTTAAGGGATTATATTTCAGACCATGAGTGTCCAGTTCAGACCCCAGGACTGTTACTTTCTGTAGTGGATGTGAAATAAATGCTGGCATATTAAATACATTCTTTCTGCACAGGGACTGTTAGCTCTGACTTGGAGTATTTAAAATTAAGAATGCTGAGGATTTGGGTGTAGCACAGTGATAGGATGCTTGCCTGGCATGTAGGAAACCCTTGATTTCATCCCAGGACTGCAAAAACATCGATACATATATACATACATGCTAATAATGCTAAATGAGGGGCTGGCATGTGGCTCAGTAATAAGGTGCTTGCATAGCATTTGCATAGCATTCAGGAGGCCCTACATTTGATTCCCAGCACCAAAAAAAAGAAAAAAAAAAAATTGGGCAGTGAAGTTAAGTTTATTTTATCAAGAGTCATTTAACATTCAGGCCGGGGATTTGGCTTAGTGCTTCTACAGTCTGCCTCCCAAGTGCAAAGGATGGAGTTCAATCCCCAGTACCAAAAAAAAAAGAGTCATTTAACATTCTTTGTTTTTGTTTGTGCTGGGGAATTAACCGAGGCTCTGGTACTCATACTGCCCAGTGCCCTGCCACTAAAGGTACACCGCCAGCTTTCGGTACCTCATTTATTTGCTTTTATAGTAAATTATTTTGAGAGAGAATGGTAAACTTACAATAATTAACCATTTTAATTATGGAATCAGGAAGCACTTTAGTGACATAAATTATAACGATAGCAGTCATGCCTGAAGTCCTACCACTTTGTGAGGCTGAGACAGGAGGGAGGATCAAAAGTTTGAGCCTAGCCTGGCCAACGTAATGACCTTGTGAGACCTTGTCTCCAAATAAAAATAAAGGCCAGGGATGTAGCTCAGTGTGAAGGCCCTAGGTTCAATCTCCAGTACTGAGAAGAAAAAAAAGATTTGTAAATTGGAAGGTTTTATTCTCTTTACTCTTTTACTTTTGTTTGTGGGGGCTGGGGCTGTAGTACCTTTGCGCTATGCTAAGTTATTTATTTACTTGTTTGTTTGTTTGTTTGGTTTTTTGAGACAAGGTCTCGCTATGTAGTTGAGACTGACCTGGAACTCACTGTGTAGCCCAGGCTGGTCTCGAACTCACAGCGATCTTCCTCCTTCAGTCTCCTGAGTGCTGGGATTATAGGCATGCGCCACCATGCCCGGCTTTTATTTTTATTTTGAGACAGGGTATGTCTTTTTTTTTGGTACTGGGGATTGAACTCAGGTCCTTGTTCTTGCAAGGCAGGCAACGGAACTACTGAGCTAAATCCCCGGCCACTAGACAGGGTATCTCTTAGTTGTTAAATTGTCAAGGCTAGGCTCAAACTTCCATCTTCCTTGGCTTCCAAAATAGGTGGGATTACAGTCTTACACCACCCCATCTGACTTTTTTTTTCCTCACTAAATATTAAAAGATATATGAGTGGGCTGGGGATTTGGCTCAGTGGTAGTGGTTCCGCTGCCTCCTTCCCAAGCCCAAGGGCCTGAGTTCGATTCCCAGTACCAAAAAAAAAAAAAAAAGATACGAGTAACTCATAAAATGTTCAGTAAACATGGCTATGGGCAAATACCAGTCAGCAGTCTGCTCTGTGTTATGTCAACTTACAGAATTTTGGGATTCGTGTTTGTTTCTTTTAAATACTTTTGTTGTTAATGAAAAGTACATAAAAATCATATAAAACAAACATTCTGTAAGAGCAATGAATTAATGTGCTTTTTGTTCCCCCCAGATCTTAAGAGTCAGACCCTGAAAGAACACTTAATTGATGAGCTGGACTATGTGTTGGTCCCAACAGAGGCCTGGAACAAATTACTGAATTGGTATGGCTGTGTAGAAGGCCAACAGCCTATTGTCAGGAAAGTGAGTATGTGAATGGCCACATTTGCTGGTCAGTTTCTGCATGTGCTCCCTGGGGGACAACACTTGGCTTGTGTTGGTTTCCTAGGAAAATAAACATGTTTAGATGTTGAGAAGAGGTGGCTGAGCCCTTGTTTGTGGCTTTCTTAGGGAATGTTGGTTGTACATGGTGGTGAGACTGCTCACCGAGGGTGTTAGAGTGACTGGCCTCTGGCGCTGCCCACTGGTTTGGGATGCATCCAGTAGTGCTGTGCAGATACTTTGTGAAAGGCTCTGAAGACTGTATGGACATACATTTGTATACTTTTTTCCCCCTAACAATTTAGTTTAAGACCCCCTCATTCCCCCAATACTTAATTGAAGCTGGGGAGCATTGAGCTATATCCCAACCTTTTTATTTTGAGATGGTCTTGCTGAGTTGCCCAGACTGGCCACAAACTTGCAGTCTTCTTACTTCAGCTTTCTCTCATTATTTGGGATTACAAGTGTAGGCCACCGCATCTGACTCCCTTCTTGTTTATCTTAAAATATTTGTAGGGCTGAGGATGGAGCTCATTGTGGAGTTCTTGCCTAGCACATGTGAGACCCTGGATTGGATCTCTAACACTGCAGACACTACCCTGACCACCCTCATTGCCTTTCTGACAATTTTTCCTGAGTTTAAAAGGCTTCAGTCACATGGTTGAGTCATTTACAAAACCTGTTTGGGAAGGTAGGCTCTGGGACAGATCTTAGCAGTTCTGGTAGTCAGGACTCATGAGGAGACCACCACACATTGTCTCCCACAGTTGTTTGATTGTCCTACCAGAAGAGAATCATAAGAGCCCACATATCTGATATGTGCTGATATTTTGACAGTAGGTAAATTTCTCACTCTGCTGGTATATGTTCTCCATCTCAGCAGAGGAGAGAGTTGCAGTCTGAAGACTGTTTCTGTGAGTCATTATTCAAGCCTGAGCTATCTTTTTCTCCAGCTGAGCCCAAAATGGTCAGGGATCCAAAAGTTAGCATGCTAACCTTTTACATATGTCCTCCCCATGTCTAGGATGCTGCCACATGAGCTCATTGCCAAGGGCTGGGCCTGTATTCTCAATCCTCTGATTAGACAAATCCTTCAAGAGGCATCATGAACTTGCATTTGAGGTGAAGAGTGACTTTTTTTTTTTTTTTTTAAAAAAGTTTGGGTGAAGAGTGACTTTTTTTTTTTTTTTTTGAGACAAGAAAGCTTTTCAGTTGAGGCTGTCCTTGAGCTTGCTGTGTAGCCCAGGCTGGCCTTGAGCCCACAGCAATCCTCCTGCCTCAGCCTCCCCAGGGCTAGTATTACAGGCATGTGCCAACATGCTGCGCCCCACCTATCTGGCCAAAGCATGGCTATGAATTAATGGATCAAGGGTTTTTGCTTGTTTCTTTTCTTTTTCTTTTTTTTGGGGGGGTGCTGGGGATTGAACCTAGGACCTTACACGTATCAGCCAAATACTTTAACACTGAGCCACATGTCCACCCCAGCAGTTCTTTCACGTAGTTAGGCATGTACTTTCAGGAGGAGTTAGAGCTTACCTTTGCCAAGTTTGTTTTGTTTTTTGTTTTGAGATAGGGTCTCAGCTGGCCTTGAACTATATAGCTCAGGCTAGTCTTCCGAGTGCTAGGATTAGAGGTGTGTATCACAACCATCTAGAATAGATTTTTAATTTTCTGGAAGAGATGTGGATAGCTTTAAAAAATCTGTATTTTAAAATAAAATCTGTACTTCTGATCCCTTGGTGGCTGAAAGAAACTGATGATCATGAATTTTCTGCTGTTTGCTGCTACCGGAACATGTTGCTTCCAAGACTGCCTGGGTATGAAAACACTGCTCCTTCACCCTGCCTCTTGTTTACAGGTTGTGGAGCATGGCCTTTTTGTCAAGCACTGCAAAGTGGAGGTGTATTTGCTGGAACTGAAGCTCTGTGAGAACAGTGACCCCACCAATGTGCTGAGTTGCCATTTCAGCAAAGCAGACACCATTGGTGAGCAAGCAGGCTGGGGGTCCTGGGTATGTTGTGAGAGACTGTAGAGCAGCGTGGTTGATGGAAGGGAAGCCGTGCACTCTGCAGACTTGTTACCCAGAGCCTGTTCCCAGGAGATTCTTGTCCTGGAATCATGTTCCAGGAATCATGTTCTATAGAATATTGAGTATAATCCTTGTCTTTTTGTCATATGGCAATAAGAAAGACAGAGTTTGAGAAGTTAGAAAGTAACTTACTAAAAAATCTAGCAAGAGGCTGAAGGTGTTGCTTAGTAGCAGTAGTATGTCCAGTGCCCTGGATTTGATTCCTAGCACACACACAGCCAGAATTACCACCACAACAAGCCCCGTTCCCCCACACACACTGGGGATTGATTCCAGGGCTTTCTCACCAAGCTACATCCCATCCCTTTTTAACTTTTTAATTTAGAAACAATCTGTAGCTGGGCATGGTGGCACACACCTATAAACCTAGCATTCTGTGAGGCTAAGGCAGAAGAACTGAGAACTTTTGAGATCCACTTGATGAACTTAGTGAGACCCTGTCTCAAAGTAAAAAATAAAAAAGTTTGGGTATGTAGCTTATTACCATAAAGGGAGAGGGAGAGATAGAAAGAGACAAATAGGCAAGGTCTTGGAAAATTGGCTAGACTGGGCTCAAAATCACAGTTCTCTTGCCTCAGCCTCCAAGGGTGCTGGGATTATAGGTGTGTGCCATGATACCTGGCTTCAGAGCTAATTTTTGAAACCACATCTGAGCTGGGCGTGGTGGCACATGCCTGTAACCTCAGTGCTTAGGAGGCTGAGGCAGGAGGATCACAGTGAGTTCAAAGCGGCCTGGGCTACAAAGCAAGACCCTATTTTAGGAGGGAAAAAATGAATACATCTGTTTTAACTCCAAAGATAATTTTTCTCACTTTTTTCTTTTCTCAGTGCTGGGGATTTAACCCAGGGCCTCATCTATGCTAGGCAAGTGCTCAACACGAAGCTACATCCCCAGCCTCACTTTCTTGCTTTCTGTGTTGTTTCTCTGCTATAAGACCTGCATTATCAGAGAAGCATAGAGACATGTTCCTCTCATACAAGTGCAAGACAGAGGCTTGAGGTCTGTCAGAACTTTCATTCCAAAGTACCTGTGAGCATCTGAAAAGGGAGTAGGGAAGGTACTGGTTTGCTTTGACTGTCTTAATCCCTGAGTGGTGTTTCTGCCTCTCCCTAGCAACCATTGAGAAGGAAATGAGGAAGCTTTTTAACATCCCTGCGGAGCGTGAAACACGGCTCTGGAATAAATACATGAGCAATACCTATGAGCAGTTGAGCAAGCTGGACAACACTATCCAAGATGCTGGGCTGTATCAAGGCCAGGTAGGAGGGCCCAGGCCATGCCCAGGCAAGCAGCTCTGCCCAGGGCATGTGGCCAGAAACCATTGGCTGTAGCATGTTAGAAGTGTGGTGGATGGTACTCTCCTGATTTGGTTTCCCCTTTCAGGTGCTAGTAATCGAGCCCCAAAACGAAGATGGCACATGGCCCAGGCAAACCCTGCAGTCAAAGTAAGTGGACCTTTTCTCTTGTGTGGCTGGGCTCACAAATCTTATAGAGACACTTTTTCCTAAGGTGGTTAAGAAAAATTGTGAATCAGGTGAAAAACTCACTGTTTCATATCCAGAATGCAGAGTTAGGATGAAGCTCCCAGCCTTTGGTAAACAGCATGTGGGGCGAGAGGAGCAGGAAGGAAGGGGCTCCGGGTCTGACCCTGCTGCTCTGCCAAGAGACGGCTGTGTTTTGACAAACTCCTTTCATTCCTTACCTATATTCAGAGGCTTTGTAGGAAAAAGAAGATAACTCAGGCATGGGATCTTGCATGACTTAAAGGTGATAGTTTCATTCCACTCCACTCTACCTACTTGCCTGTTATTCATTGTTGCTTTTGGGGCTTGGATGAGGAATTGTTCAGCTACAGGCACAGCTATTTTAGAGTTATTCATGTGATGCATGGAATTGTGCATATCTTCAGAAGGGGAAGGAATTGATGACTTTTCCTCTTTTTGAAAGATGGAAAAGTCTTTATGCTTCAGTTTTTATGGAGGGAGTGGTGAACTCCGCTTTCTTCTTTCATTTATATAGTGATTAGCCTCAGAGCTCATTTCAAAACTGAAACCAGGAGCCCTCTTGAGAAACAGGCATGAAGACAAAAACATTGGCCAACAGTTTTAGGTGTTTCACAGATCCCTTCAAACCCAGTCATGGGCTCCAGTTGTAAGAACCGGGGGTGCTGTTTCCTGATAAGATGACAGAAATAGCTGTGGAACACAGAATAGTGCCTCCTGTCTCCATAAGAGATGCCCACTTCTTAATTTCCAGAACCTGTGAATGTGTAGGCTTACAAATGGACATCACAGATGTGACTAAATTAATAACCGGAGATGGGGAGAAGTGTGGGCCCAGTGTGGCCACACTGGTCCTTGTGAGTGAAACGGAGGCTGGAAAGTTGGAGGTGCTATGAGGAGAGAAGCAGAGTCAGAGTTGAGGAAATGTGAGCTAGGGAAGTGAAAATGGGCAGCCTTTAGCAGTTCCTACAGCCTCTACGAAGGGATGCAACTGGCTGTTTGGCCCAGCACCTTGATTTTAGGCCAGAGAGAAGCATTTTGGACTTTTTGACTTCAGGAACTGCAAAATAATAAATTTGTTGTTTTAAGCCACTCAGTTTGTGACAGTGATAGGAAACTAATACACAAACATAGGCAGTTAGCTCCTCTCTTGGAATTGGAAATACCATAAAACTGAGGGACAGTAACCTAAAAACTGAGAACCCCCTGGGGTGACAGAAGATTTGATTGCAGCCTATGAGGTAGGGTTGGTAGTTCAAAGCAAAAGGTGGGTAGGTATCCTGGCCAGGGAGTTGTACCTTATTTTCTGCCTAGCATTGCTTCTGTCTCTTCCATACCTGGAGATTCAGTTAAAAGAGAAAGATTTTGGAAAAGAGCAGTGCCTTATTATGGGTGTTAACCCTGAAGGTCAGAGTGACTTGGTCAAGTCGGGAGTGAGTTCAAAGTGGAATTCCTGGGGTCCATTCCCCTCCCCATTCCCCAAGGTAGTTCATATACTGTTGCAGGTGGTGAGGATATAGCAATAAACAGCACCAAGTATGCACAGTATCCTCAAGGAACAGACAGAAAGATAAAATAAGAAAATCATACATGTCCACAGGTTTATAAACTCTGGATAAAAGTCAGGAAAGAGAACGAGTGAGCCCTAGGCTTTTGGATGGTGCAGGTTTAACCAGGATGAAGGGACAGCCCTCTTAAGGGTCCTGTGCACATTGTGTTGGAAATAGGGAAGGAACATTCGTGAGTGTAGGATAGAAGGATTGTTGTGAGTCTAGCTAAGGCTCCAAAGCAAGTTCAAGTCTGTCTCAAAAAATTTTTTTTGAATCTGAAAAATAGAATCCCTTAGATCCATTATTGCTAAGAAGCTTGATACTAGCTGGGTATGGTGGCCCATGCCTGTAATTCCAACACTCTTGGTGGGTGAAGCTGGAGGACTGCAAGTTCCAGGGCTGATTGAAGACCAGCAGGGATTTGTTCTGAGCTGGAGAGGGTAATGGGAAGGTGGACGATGAGATGTAGGAGGGGAGGAGGTAACAGGTCCTAGGAATTTGAGAGATAGGTTCTAGTTTTGCTTCCAGGCAGGGGAAGAGCCTGTTAGATAGAGTGTTGAGGTACAATGTGATCTGGGGTGACTCTCAGTCAGAACCAGAGATTGACAAGGATAGTCAGCATAAATGGAAAATGACAAAGTTGCTGGCAGCATAGGATTAAATAAGCATAATGAATATTTTTGAAGACATGAATACATATACTTGTATTTGGAAGGAGAATTCAAAGCATGGGTTGAACAGCAGAATGTTTGCAGCTGACAACAGTTTGTAAGGTCATATTAAAGAATTCTAAAAGGTGCTGGGCATGGTGGTGCACGCCTGTAATCCCAGCACTAGGGAGGCTGAGGGAGGTTGAGGTAGGAGGATCGCTGTGAATTTTGAGACCAGCCTGGGCTACATAGTGAGTTCCAGGTCAGTCTCAACTACATAGTGAGACCCTGTCTCAAAAAAGCACACAAAAAAACAAAACGAAAAAAAACTCTAAAAGGCATTATGAAGGGATAAAGAGGGGAAATTATAGAAATGTGCTATGGATAGTATCAGTATTTCTGTATTAATGTATATCCATGTAAGAGTATTTCTCAATTGCCAGGCATGGTGGTGCACACCTGTGATCCCAGCATTCAGGAGGCTGAGGCAGGAGAATTGTCACAAGTTCAGGACCAGCCTGGGCTACGTAGTGAGTTCAGAGCCAGTCTGAACTATATACATAGTGAGACCCTGTTTCAAAAAACTAAAAAAGGGGAGGGTTTCTATATTAATGTATATCCATGTTAGAGTATGTTTTATATGGAAATATCAGTGTCCATATAATAGAGATCTTAGAAGCAGAGAAAAATGACAGAGGGAAAGATGAAAATATTAGAAGAAAAACTCACCAAGTCTCAAATATTTTAAAGATAAAAGACCTTAAAGAATGCCAAGCATGACTAGCGGGTTGTGGTGGTACATGCCTGAGGCAGGAGGAATGCTAGAAGTAAGGCCAGCCTGGGATTCATAGTGAGTCAAGGCCAGCCAAAACTACATAAGAGCTATCTCAAAAAATTAAAAATAAATAAATAAGTAAAAAGCCAAGCATGACATAAAAGAAAGCTCTACATTTACACAGTAGAATGAAATTAATAATAAAGATGGAAAGAAAATTCCAAGTCATTTTGAAAGCAAAAGTTATTTATAGCTGGTGCTTGGTTTGGTTTTGTTTTATTTGAGACAGGGTCTTGCTATGTAGTTCTGGGTGGTCTTGAACTCACTTAGCACAGGCTGGGCTTTAACTCATAGTGATCTTTCTGCCTCAGCCTCCCCTAAGATTATAGGCGTGCGCCACCACACTTGGCCACACAGCTGGTTATGGTGTCACACACCTACCTGTAACCTATATCCTGGGATGCTAAGACAGGAGGATCAAGCCCAGCCTGTGCAATTTCGTGACTTAAGGAGACCCTGTTTCAAAATAAAAAAGGTTGGGATGTAACTCAATGCAGAGGCCCTGGGTTCTGTCCCTTGTACCAGGAGGGAAAGAATAAATAAAAAAGCAGAGAAATAAAACCCCTATGGAGATTTACCCCAAGAGCTTTGCACTGGGCTATGTCCCCAACGCTTTGTTTGTTTTGAGAATGCCCTCAGTTGCTTAGGCTGGGTTGGAACTTGCATTCCTCCAACTTCACCCACCAAGAGTGTTGGAATTACAGGCATGGGCCACCGTACCCAGATAATATCAAGCTTCTCAGCAATAATGGATCTAAGGGATTCTTTTCCTTCTGATTCAGATTTTTTTTTTTTTTTTTTTTTTTTTTTTTTTTGAGACAGACTTGAACTTGCTTTATAGCCTTAGCTAGACTCACAATGATCCTTCTGCCTCAGCCTCCTGAGTGCTGGAATTACAGGCATGCATCAGCATACCTGGTTTGTTTGTCTATTATTGATTTGTGGTACTGGGAATTGAACCCAGGGCCTTTACACTAAGTTACATTCCAAGTCCCTCTTATTTTTTACTTTGAGACAAGTTGCTTACTAGGTTGCCTGTGCCTGGCTCAAACTTGTGATCTTCCTGCTTCAGCCTCCTGAGTACTTTGATTATAGCTGTGCACCAACATGCTTCACTGACTTCATGACTTTTTAACCCACCAATAAATTGATAGAGTAGGTAGTAGTTTAGCCCACAGATTAATCTCTAAAAAATATTGAAACAATGAGTTAGAAGCAGTGAGATTGTATGCATTTGCCAATTATAAAGCAGTATCATTCTTGAAAGGCATTGTAAAACTAAACAGCCATTTTCCTGTTTTAGTGTCCTAGCCAGCTATTTATTTCTTTCTTTTTTTTTTTTTTTTTTTTTTATTTTTTTTTCTTTCTTTTTTTTTTTTTTTTTTTAGCTTTGTGCAATGGCAGTATCATAGCCAATGAGGTTTATCCGAGGCGCGATTATTGCTAATTGTAAACTTTATTTTTTTTAACTTTTTGAGACAGGATCTCACTATGTAGTTCAGGCTAACCTTGAACTCACTACTGGTATGTAGCCCAGGCTGGCCTTGAACTTGAAGGAATCCTGCCGCCTCAGCCTCCCAAGTGCCAGGACCACACTTACCTCTATAACCACCTATTTAATTTGTGTCAAATATTTTTGGGAAAGTCATCTCTTACTGCCATTTTTCTATGCCTTTTGTGTGTAACTCCTAAAATACAGAGAAGCTTATGGTATATAAATAAAACCAGAAAAGACCATCTTGGGGTTTGTCATAGTAGAACATTTAGTGTGTGATCTTGTGAACTAACAAGTCAGTAAGATTAGTTAATTTGTTTTGGTTTGGTTTGGGATTTATTTAGTTGTTTTGGGTTTTTGTTTTTTGGTTTTTTGGTGGTGGTTTGTTTGTTTTTTGGTACTGGGGATTAGTTAGACTCAGGCCCTCGAACTTGTAAGGCAGGCAGTGGAACCACTGACCAAATCCCCGGTTTAAGACATTTTTGAGACAAGATATCTTTGACTCTCAAATACAATTTTGAAGTATTACTACAAGAGGGTTTTTACAGTTTGTTTTTTTGTTTGTTTGTTTGTTTTTTTCCCGAGACAGGTTCTTGTTTTATAGTTCAGGCTGTCTTAAACTCACTTTGTAACCCAGGCTGGCCTCAAACTCGAGACGATCCTCCTGCCTCAGCCTCAGGAGTGCTGGGATCATAGGCGTGTGCCATCATGCCTGGCTCAGAAAATGTTATTTCTTGAGATGAGATCTAAAGCATTAAGTAGGGCTTACACTTTCAAAAAATCAGCAGCATTGTTTCTACTTCTTTCTCCCAGATCAAGCACTGTACCTAGCAGAAATTTTACTACCTCTCCAAAATCATCATCAAGTCCCTATTCCTCAATGTCCGCCTCTCCCGTTGCAAATGGTGATAGCACTAACACCTCTGGGGTGCACAGTTCCGGTGTCGGCAGGGGGTAAGAAGCACTCACACTCTGCATCCTTGATCTGAATCTCTTCCAAGGCTGTGTCCGGAGTGCTCATCCGCTGCTTCGCTAAGCATCATGGGATCAGAGCTCCCCTTGGGAGTGTGCTGCGTGTGGTTCTCTGCTAATTCCAACCTAATTCTACTTGTCCTGTGAGCTGGTGTTTTTCTACAGCCTGTGTCATGAGGGCTGGATCTGGGGGTGTCACTGCAGTTGTTGGTGAAGGGATGGGCTGGCCACATGCCAGAGCAGCTGCATGGGGAGGGTTCTTAGCTCTGTGAGTACCCTGTGTTTCTCTTCTGGTTGGCCATGACCCTTTCTCTAGGAGTTTCAGGAGTGTCTGCCACATGGCATAGACTGGTAGAAGCTGAGTGTGAGTTGAGAGACTACATGAACGCTCAGGTCAAGCCAAGCCCAGGTGTGGCCTTGTGGGTGGTGGCAGATGCAAACTCTTGATCTTTGTAACCTAAATGTTCTTCTCTGAAGTCACCTGCAGTCACTCTTACAGAAGGTTATAAAACTAGCTCTTACCAAAGCCCAGAAGAGGAAAATTCAAATAATACTTCTCATCTTAACAATGTACTCCAATTGCTAACACGTCACATCAAGAGGAGGAGCAAGTCTGAAGGGTCATGGGAAAGAGGAGAGAACTTGCATTGGGGGGGCTATTTCTGGACATGAGTTTTAGAGGCCCCAGCAGTGCCCCCCAAAAGTATCTGAGGAAGTGTGTGCAGCACTTGCTGTTTTTGCTGACATGAGTTGTGTTTTTCAGTGGATCTGGCTTCTCTGCTTCGTATAATTGTCAGGAGCTGCCATCTTCTCATATCCAGCCTGGGCTCTGTGGACTAGGAAACCTGGGGAATACCTGCTTCATGAACTCTGCTTTGCAGGTATGGGAAGAGCCACTGTCTGAATAGGTGTGTTCTGAGTCTTGAGTAAGAATGTTCTAGCCGGATGTGGTGGCTCACGCCTGTAATCCCAGCATTTGGGAGGTGAGGCAGGAGGATGCTGTGAGTTCAAGAGCAGCCTGGGCTATGTAGTGAATTCAGGTGAGTCTCAACTACATAGTGAGACCCTGTCTCAAAAAAAAATGTTCTGGGCTCCCTCCTTTTAATGCTTTAGTAGTCTGAAAGGGTGTCTCACTGGTTTGGTTAAAAATGGCTTCCTTGGTACCTGTGGCCACAACATATATTCTTAGTATATGTGCTGCCGAAGTGAGTGCCACAACATGTATTCTTAATCCATTCTGTATTTCGGTTACACTAAAACAAAAAAACACAAAAAACTTTCCCACTAGTGGAGATTGAACTGAGAACCTCAGGGATTTTAGGCAAATGGTCTGCTACTCAACTACTTCCCTTGCCCTTTTGTTTTGTTTTGTTTTTTCTTCTTTTTTTTTTTTTTTTTTTTTTTTTTTTTGTACCAGGGATAAAACTCAGGACCTTGCCCAAGTGGCCTTGAACTTGTAGTCTTCTTGCCTCAGCTTCCCCAGTAGCTGGAATTGGCAGTAGTAAAAATATTTTAAATTTTGTTGACTATTAGGGCATGATCTCCCTAGAAAATACTGGAATGCATACCTTTCTGGTCGATCTCTGAACGGATGAGAACTCAAAACACCTGGGCCACACTCAGCTATGCTGCATTGAAGGATGACCCCTTTTTCACCAGAGTCAGTTACCTTACCTCTTACCCCATACTGGAGAAATCCTAAAATCTTTGTGTGAAACCTCACTTGTACATTCATCAAATATTTGTTGGGCACAGACTGTGCAGTAGCTCTATTACAGTCAAGGCCACAAGCAGATAGGGTCAAACTGTAGTCAGGAATGCATAGTCTCCAGGACTGCCCTCAGCTCTGAAGCCAGATGCAAGTTTGAGAGTGCCTAAGGCAACCTTCAGCTTTGATGATTTGTTAGCAGGATTCATTAAAGCTGTTATGCTCATGATAATGGTCTCTTATGGGGAAAGGATACAGATTAAACTTGTGTGCTCTCTCTGGAGTGAGGACACATTGCTTTCATGACACTGTGCAGCAGTAGCACAGAGTGCACTGCCATCAATCATGGAAGTGTACTTGAGCTGCATTGTGCAAGTGTGCAGTTTTTTTTTTCCTTTGAGATGGAGTCTGGCTCTTTGGTCTATTGCAGGCTTTGGACTCTGTGTAGCCCAACTGTCCTTGAATTTTCTTTTGCTGTACTGAGGATTAAACCCAGGGCCATTGCCCTAAGCTATATCCCCAGATGATTTTGTTTGTTTGTTTGTTTGTTTGTTTGGGGTGCTGGGGATCAAACTTGGGTCCTTGCATTTGTGAGGCAGGTGGTGGCACCACTGAGCTAAATCCCTGGCCCTGGGCCTTTTTTTTTTTTCTTTTTGGATACAGGGTGTCACTATGTAGTTAAGACTGTCCTGGAACTTGATTACAGGTGTACGCCACCATGCCCGGCTTGGACCTTTTTATTTTTATTCTGAGATAGGGTCTCACTAAGTTGCTTGGGTAGGGTTTGAACTTGTGATCCTCAACAGGTGTCCTCAACCTCACTTGATTCAAACATGATCCCTCCCCACTCCAATCCTAGGGATTGAGTCAAGTGTCTTCACATTTACACCATTTACACTACATCCTTAGTCCTTTTTATTTTTTATTTATCCCCCCACACCACCTTTGTATGTATCGCCCTCTCTTTCTTTCTTTTTGGTACCGGGGATTGAAGTTGGTACCTTGTGCTTGTGAGGCTGGCAGCGGAACCAATGAGCTAAATCCCTGCGTGCCCACCCCCCCACCCCCTTTGTACCAGGAATTGAACTCATGACCTTGTGCTTACAAGGCAGGCAGGGTGCCGTTGAGTTAAATCCCTGGCCCTCTATCTTTTTTGTGTTTTTGTACTGGGGATTGAACTCAAAACCTTGTGCTTTCAAGGCAGGCAGTAGAACCACTGAGCTCAATACCCAGTCCCCTCTCTCTCTGTTTTGAGAGAGAGAGAGAGAGAGAGAGAGTGTGTGTGTGTGTGTGTGTGTGTTTGGCACCAGGGATCGAACTCGAACTCAGGTCTTTGTGCTTACAAGGCAGGTGGTAGAATCACTGAGCTAAATCCCCGGCCCTTTTTTTTTTGAGACAGAGTCTCACAATGTAGTTCAGGAGAGCCTTGAATTTACTATGTAGCCTGGCTTCAAACTCCTGGCAACTCTCCTGCCTCAGCCTCCTGAGTCCTGGAATTATAGGCATGTGCCTCCATACCCAGCTTTCTGTTTTGATTTTGAGAAAGGGTCTCATTAAGTCACTAAGTTGCAGAGGCTGGGCTCCACAATTTGTAATCTTCCTGCCTCACAGTGCTAGAATTGTAGGTTTGTAGTATCACACCTAACTTTAAACATAATTCTTTGGGGGAAAAACCCTAATAACCTCATAGGAAGTCTCATAAGGGAGAAATACAAATGACTAATGGCAGGGATGAAGAAAGAAACCATGATAGATTTTATAGACATTTAAAAAGATCATTGGAGTATAGTAAAACTCTTTGCTGTTGGACAATTAAGATGGACAAGTTGCCTTGAAAAGCACAACTTACTGACCTTACAAAGGGAAAAATGGAAAATCTGAATTTCTTTGGTGTTCCTTTTTTTGGTACCAGTGATCAAACTTGGGTTCCTGCGCTTGCAAGGCAGGCGCTGGAACCATTGAGCTAAATCCCCAGCCCTGTGAATTTCTTTGTGTTAAAGAAATTGATTCAAGGGGAAGGGGTTTGAGGGGGAGAATAGGATAAAATAAATTTTAATTTTTAAATAAAGAAATTGATTCAGTAATTAAAAGCCTTACAATAAAGAAAATTCTTTTTCTGGATGGGTTTACTGGTGAATGTATTTAAAATTTCAGAAAATAGTAACTCAGTCAACTATAAACTGGCACGGAATAGATAAAAGAAACCATCTGAAGCCTTTTTTTTGTTTGTTTTTTTGAGACAGGGTCTCACTGTGTAGTTGAGACTGACCTGGAACTCACTATGTAGCCCAGGCTGGTCTCGAACTCACAGCGATCTTCTTGCCTCAGCCTCCCGAGTGCTGGGATTACAGGCGTCACCACCTCGCCCAGCTTTGGATTTAATTTTTTTGTATGGATAATTTTAAGTATATTTGTAGGCTAAAGAGAGAAATGTTAAGCTATATTTAATTTGGGAAAATATACTTTTAATGTAAGTTATGTTGCATCTTGGAAAGATTTTTTTAAGTTGTGCCTATATTTTCTACATATATATGGTATAATAACAGCAAGTATTACTTTCTTGGCATTTACAAAGAATTAAAATGTGTATTGCCTCATTTACCTTTATACCTACTATGAATTGCATAGATTAGGTGTTATCCCTTTTATTCACATTCACATGAGAAACTAAGTCTCATAGAGGTTCAAAAATCATATAATTTGAGATAAGATTAGGACACATTTTGTGATTTAAATCTCTCAGATTTTACAGTTAAAACTGCCTACACCTGGAACTCACTATGTAGCCCAGGCTGGTCTTGAACTCACAGCAATCCTCCTGCCTCAGCCTCCCGAGTGCTGGGATTACAGGCGTGCGCCACCACGCCCAGCCCTACATTTTATTTTTAGTTTCAATTTTATATTATGATCATTGATTCATACATCATTTAAAACTGTGAGCTGGGCGTGGTGGTGCACGCCTGTAATCCCAGCACTCGGGAGGCTGAGGCAGGAGGATTGCTGTGAGTTCAAGACCAGCCTGGGCTACATAGTGAGTTCCAGGTCAGTCTCAACTACATAGTGAGATTCCCCTCTCAAAAAACAAAACAAAACAAAACTTTGTAGAGACACTGACATAGGTTAAAAAACATACATTTATAAACTATAAAATGTTTAATGTAGTGAAAAGTGACAGTCAGAAGTTTCAGTACTGTAATATGTGTTGTGAATTTGCCACAGGTTAATACCTTGTTTAGTTTAGTTCTTTTATGCATCTAATGCCCCATTGTGAAATTTAAATAAATAAAATAGCCTATCTCTCCAGTTCAGGGATGGCATTGAACAGAGATAACAAAAATTTCAGACTCATACAAAATACTGTTTTGTCTAGTGAGTGGTAACAAGAAAGATTAAGAAATGGGCCAGGGATTTAGCCTAGTAGTTCTGACTCCTGCTTTGCAAGTGCAAAGGCCCCAGTTCGATCCCTGGTACCAAAAAAAGAAATAATTTCACATATTGAGAAAGCTTGATGAGTTTCCAGTTCACTGTGTATTATTTTATTTAAAGTTGTAAATTTACAGAGTAAGTAGGCAGTCATGTTTTATTTAATGTACCATAATATTCCAAAACAAAACAAGACAAAAATGCAGCTTTTGCTTCAGGTTGGTTGGAAAGATAGCATCTCAGGCAGTACTTAGCTCCTCCAAGACCATGATCCTGAGTCAACCCCACACTGGGCCTTCAGGTTGGTCTCCTGAGGCTCTTCTTTTCTGCTGGGAGCATTTTTTCGGGGAAGCCTCAGTAGCCTTTTAGATTCTGATTTATTTTGTTTCCCCCGTTTGCTTGCTGATGGGTTTCTGTTTCAGTGCCTGAGCAACACTGCACCACTGACTGACTACTTTCTCAAAGATGAATATGAGGCCGAAATCAACAGAGACAACCCTCTGGGCATGAAAGGAGAAATTGCAGAGGCCTATGCAGAGCTCATCAAGCAGATGTGGTCTGGAAGGGACACTCAGGTGGCACCTCGCATGTTTAAAGTAGGTTGAAATAAGTATTTCCTTTTTCTTCTTTTAGGGAGAGTGGCTTGGTGTTGTAATGAGCATTCCTTTATTTGCATTTTAGGATTAAGAGAGGTCTAAACCAAAAAGTACCACATTTTTATATCATTCTTTCTTGTTATTTGTTTAGCACACACTTAAGTGTCCCCTGTGCTCACCTCTGAGTAGAGGTGTCCCAGAAGCCCTTTGTAAGATGGTTGCTCAGAATTCTGCATTCTGTGGTAACTATATATATATATAAATGTATATAATTATTGGGGGGGTTGATTTTTTTTTTGTTTCCTTTTGGAGGGGGTACCAGGAATCAAACTCAGGACCTTTCCCTTGTGAGGCAGGTGGCGACACCACTAAGCTAAATCTCTGGCCATTTTTTGTTTCTATTCTTGATTTTTTGAGACATGATCTTGGTAGGTAGTTCAGGCTGGCCTTGAACTCACTGTAGTCCAGGCTGGCTTTAAACTCTTGATAATCCTCCTACCTTAGCCTCCTGAGTGCTGGGATTTCAGGTGTCTGCCACCACCCAGCTTGTTAACAATATAAACATGGTCCTAAAAATTCATTTTACCTTCCAGAATAATACAAAGGCTGCTCCCAGGTTCTCTGAGCCTGGACCCTATCCTTATGGTTTGAGTTAGGCCCCTCTTAAGTCAGAAATTGGGTTGACATTCTCAGAAAATGACATAAGGAACAGTTCTCACTCACGTCCCTCAACTAGGAAAACTTGGGGAGGAGATGGATGAACTGCAGCAGACCTTGGAGCAACTTGGGCTTTCCATTGCCCAAAAATGTTTCTTCTTTCCTGGAGGACAGTACCTTGTTCCCATATGCTAAAATCTGAGGAGATCCTATTTCTCCTGCACTAAAGGAGGCTCAATGACTCTTCAGGAATCCGTGATAAAAAAGATTTGCATGGTTTTGATTCTGAGAAGGAAAAAGGAAATAGCACTGTAGCTCAATGAGAAAATAAAAATGTCACTGGAGTGTTGAAATTGAAAATGAATTCTGTTCATCCTCTTGATGACATTAATTCCTGGGAAATACAAGTAAGTAAGTCGTAGTTACATGCTAAGTCATAAAGATACTAGAGTTGTGTGACATACCTGGGTTCAAGTTAAACAGATACAGTATTTGGGATGCTGGTGTAGTGTAGAGCTTCCTCAGTGATGACGTGGTCTGTGTTGGAAGACTGTCTGAGGTACTACCTCAGCTACTGTTGGCCAAGAAACTGAATTTTAGGTTGTATTTACATTTTCTTTTGATGCTGGGGGTTGAACCCATGACCTTGCATGTGCTAGGCACATGCTGTATCACTGAGCTCCACCCCTGCCCTTGTGTTGAATTGTAATCAATTTAAATAGCTACATATAGTTAGTAGCTGTGGAATTAGATAGCACAGGTATAGAATAGTGGTTGTACCATTTTAGGATGCATCACAATCTCCAGGCGGGCTGTTCCAATATAGATTGCTAGGGCTGGGGATTTGGCTCATTGGTTCTGCCGCCTGCCTTGCAAGCACAAGGGCCTGAGTTCAATCCCTGGTGCTAAAACAAAACAAAACAAAAAATCATGTCCAATATAGACTGCTAACGCTCTGGATATTTCCAGTTTTATGGGTCTGGAGGGTAGCCCAAGAAAGTGTACTGAAACTGCTCCCAGGGAGCACTACTGGTTGGGGTTACACTCCAGGGATTGCTGGTGAAGAGCAGTAGTGAGGAGCTTGTTGTCTAGGAACAAGGAGGTTTTTATGGCAGGAGTCTCTTGCTGATGTAGATAGCATTTCTAAAGTTCTAGGAACAAAAGAAGGATCTTGGAGAAGGATTTGTGTCAGTTTGTGTGTGTGGCTATGTAGAGTGCTGCCCTTGCCTTGTTGGGATCCTGGCCCAGACTCTGGTCCCTCCATGTCCTGGCTCTCAGAGCCTCCCTTCTGGGAGTACCTTTAGCTCCATTACGTTCTCCAGGATGTAACTGGGTTCCTCACCTGCTTTCCTGCATGTGCCAGCTGACTGCAGAGCTATTTTTGATGACACTGCCCTTTTGACTTCACTGGTTTGTTGCATATTACACCTTCTGATGTAGTTGCTTTTGTTGTAGACCCAAGTGGGACGATTTGCCCCTCAGTTTTCTGGCTACCAGCAGCAGGACTCTCAGGAGCTGTTAGCCTTTATTCTAGATGGATTGCATGAAGACCTGAATCGGGTCAAGAAGAAGCCCTACTTGCTGCCAAAGGATGCCAATGGGCGGCCAGATGCGGTATGATGTGGAAGCTGTTGGAACAGTAATGTTTCAAGAGGCTGCCTCCTTTCGCCCCCTATTGTGGAGGAAGTGTTCTGGGCCTTGGGGATTAGTGCCAGGATACTGGGACAGGCTGTAGATTCTGGTAGAGACATGCATTCAACTTGGAGAAACGGGCTAGTTATAGCTGGGCGTGATGGCACATGCTGTAATCCCAGCACTCAGGAGGCTGAGGCAGAAGGATCTCCACGAATTCAAGGCCAGCCTGAGCTGATAGGCAAAACAAAACAAAACAAATGAGCTAGTTATGCATTTTTTGCTTTTTGGTTTTTTGTTTTTGTTTTCATACTGGGGCTTGAATTCATGACCTCACACTTGCCAGGCAGATGCTGTGTTGCTGAGCTAAATCCCTGGCCCTGGGTTTGTTAGTTTTTAAGTGCAAAGAAGCAAACCCTGTGCATGCTAAGAACACTCCGTCACTGAGGGACACCCTTAGCCAAACCAGCCAAATGTTACTGCCTTGACTTTTTTTTTAACTTTGTTTTAAAACTTTTTTATGGAAATTTATACTTTTTCTTGAAACAGGGTCTCACTGTGTAGTTCAGGCTGGCCTTGAACTCATAGTGACCCTCCCAAGTGCTGGGATTACAGGCCATCATACCCAGCTACCCTACTAGACTTCTTGAATCACTTTGTTTGGTATTTCATTGACCAATGAGACTAGTGCACACTGAAAACTAAGAGACCCATAATGTGGATTATTACTGCTCTCATTGAAATCTTTCTGTGATTATTAAACATATTTTGTTATTAATATTAACTTAAGGCTTTTACACATTTGCCTTGATTTTCTAATCTGTAGAAGGGTTTTTTTTTTAATTTGGTACTGGGAATCAAACTCGGGACCTTCTGCTTGCAAGGCAGGTAGCAGAACCACTGAGCTAAATCCCCTATGGAAGGGGATTTTATTACTTCACTGCCCTGTGATATTGAAATAATCATTATGAATGCTTTAAAGTTCCACTTAGATCTTAAAGGAAAAGCCATAAGTGAGCCAAACTATTATATAGATTTGGTGAGCTGTCACCAAAGAGCCAGTGTGATAGTGCACATCTATAATTCTAGCTATTTAGGAGGTTGAGAAAGAAGGTTTAAAAGTGTGAGGACAGCCTGAGCAACTTAGCAAGACCTTGTCTCAAAATAAAAAGGTTTAAGGGCCGGGATTTAACTATGCCACCACGCCTGCCTGGAAAGTGCAAGGTCCTGAGTTTTATTCCCGGTACCAAGAAAAATAGATTGATCGATCAATCAGTTGATATTTAGATAGATAGTTGCATGGATGGATGGGTCGGTGTAGGAGTGTAGCTCAGTGGTAGAGCACTTGCCTAGCATGCATGAGGACCTGGGTTCAAACCTAATACCACAAAAGAAAAAGAGAAAAATATCTCACCAAAAGGACTTTATTTTTTGGTTGTCTTGAAACAGGGTCTAGCTATGTATTCAAAGTTTGCCTCGAACTCACTATGGAGCCCAGGCTGGCCTTGAACTTGTTGTGGCAGTCCTTGTCTCAGCCTCCCAAATGCTGAGATTACACCATGTCTGGCTCAAAGAGACTTTAATTTTTTTTTTTTTTTTTTTTTTTTTTTTTGAAAGGGT